CTCTGCTCTCCTCCCCACTGATAGTTGATGTGTGGTGAGCGTTCTAGCGCACTATGGCTGCCGTTGCATCATCCAGGTGGATGCTGCACATTGGTGGTGGTGGTGGAGGGGAGTCCCCATTACCTGTAAAGCGCTTTGAGTGGAGTGTCCAGAAAAGCGCTATAGAAGTGTAAGCAATTATTATAAGATCTCTCTTTTTTATGAGATGAAGCCACTTGTTTTGTGTTTAAATGATAAGAATTTTATTAAAAAAAGGTTAGTCTGTAGACAGCACAGTTAGTCTGTGGTTAGCATTGTTCCATTGTAGTGCTTTTGCTCTGGGGTAAATGCCACGCCTGGGGTGATGTCTGCATGGAGTTTGTATGTTCTCTCTGTGATTGTGTGAGCTACGGTATCGCTGGGCGCTCAGATTTCCTCCCAAAGTCCAAAGACATACTGGTAGGCTAAATGGCTTCTGGGAAAATTGGCCCTGGTGTAAGTGTGCATGTGTCTGTGTTTGTATGTACCCTGCTAGTACTGGTGTCCTGTCTAGTGTTTATTCCGCCTTGCACCCGTTGCTTACTGTGATAGGCTATAGTTCCCCCACGACCCTTATTGGATGAAGTGGTTACAATATGGATACTAAGTTAGTGATTAGTATTTTGAGAAACCCTCTGCAGAGCCAATGCCGAGCAGATGCTAAAATGTCATTTTGGTTCTTGTGTTTCAGACACTGCTTACGTGCGGGTCTTTGTCATGGATGTCAATGACAATGCTCCTGCCTTCCCTCAGTCAGTGTACGAAGTCAGCGTAGAGGAAGACAAAGATGTTGGCTTCATTGTCTTGACCGTGACAGCCAATGACGAAGATGAAGGTAAGAGAAAAATATTTTTTGTTAAAGGACATCATGCTTCAGTTTATTTAACCAAGAGCACTGGATCAGACACTGGTCTCTGAAACTCTATAATTTGCAACTGCAAGCACAGTTCTGCAGTGCAGCACTGGACAAAGCCCTTTAGGTGAAGTAATGTATAATGCAGAGTCACCCTTATCTGGTTTCCTTTTTACTCATCTTAGACAAATTTCTTCTTCCTTAATTATTAAATTTAGAATATCCTGTCATTTTTCTTTTTCTTTTTATACCTTTCCCCAGTTCTAGTCACCAGTTCTTAATCTACTTAATCTACTTTTCACCAAATCTAAAACTATCAAGAAGTGAAGAAGCTGTCTGTTATTATATTGCACTCTTACAGATCCAAAAGCAGAACTAAGGTGTCAAAGGCAGAACAAATGCAGTCTAGCCAATTAAACAGTAACCTCACAATCACTGGATACTCTTGAGGTCATGTTGCATGACAATAAAGCATGTTGCATGCTCATTGATGAACATACTATGGCCAGCTTGATTCCAGGTACCCCTGGGAGTGCTGTTTGTACACTCCACTAGGTGGTGCTGGTTACAAATGACTAAAGCTATTGCACACATCTTTACTGGTTAAATGTGTTTACACTCCTGTTTATTTTTTCCACAGTAAACAAGTAGATCCTTAAATGTGTATAGGTTCAAATAAGTGAAACATTTTTAATTTGCTTGAATTCAGTCCCACATAAAAGCTTTGTTAGCACTATGAAAACACATGACAAAACCCTCTTTCACAGAAACCATTTTATAGTCATATCCAACTGCTGCTTCACAGCTTTTGGGTCTTGGATTCTATTCTTGGTTGGATTGTCTTATGTTCTGCCTGTTTTCCTGTGTTTTTTTCAAAATCCAAAAGATTTGTTTAGTTCGATTGGCTGTGCTTCATTTTTTCATTTCAAAAGAAACAGAAGTGTGGCCTTTTCCTCATTACTACATATTGTCTGGAGTGGTTTTGCTAACCACAACACTTGTACTAAAGAAGAAATGGTGTCATGTTAAGGAAAACTGGTATTTTTTTCTTTTTTTAACAGTTATAGGATTTTATATGCTTGTTGTAAAATGCCAAGTGCAGTCCTTCAATAACCTTACTATTACTGTAAACTATGAGAGCTCAAGAGTTTTTTTTTCTGATTAAGAAAAAAGCAATGACACAGGTAAAAGTATCAAACCTTCTTTGGAACTAATCGTTGATCTTATTTGTAAGCTATAATGAAATATATTATTGGTGAACATCTCTGCTGTTTCATCAATTTTAGAATCTAGCCATTTGATTTGGGGAAAACAGAAAAAAACAGGTGAAAATGTAGTTACATATTTCACTTAGAGGTGTGCATTAACCATTTGGAATGGGACACTGATCAGAGTGTAGACATAACTTGTGCTGATCAAAATAGACTCTGTTCTAAGCTTTTTTTTCAAGACTTCAAGAGAGTAGTAGCTGTAGTGACACTGTATGTAGCAGTGAGGGGTGTACATCTTGGTATGCCCCTTTAAAATCCAGGCCTCATGTAATGAGTAATTCCACATAGGAAGCGTATTTACAGTATGTTCCTTAGACATTTGCTGAGTTGACAGCCTAAGTATTTATTACATAGATTACTTTGGAAATAGTATTTTTGAAAATCTGTCAGACTTCAAAATCTCCAGTGGTCTTCCCTGTCAGACACAGGTGTCCACCTAAGCGGATGATCTGTATTTGTTTGAGATAATCCATAAAAACATGACAAAATCCTGGTAAGGACCAGGCTGCTGAGCATGCAAGTGTCTGAGTGGATTTTATAGCCAAGCTTCTCTGGGTACCTCCTTGGCTTAAAATAAGCAGTATTTGTCACATGTCTGTTGTCTATTGAAGGTAAAATAATAAATACACAAGTTCTGGAGATCAAAAACTGCTCTTTAAGAAATATGCTGTGCCTTGTTTCTTTTTATTTTGCCATGGAGCTCTGCAATAGAATGCAGAGTGTATAATTATGAATTGTATTAGAGACATTGTATCCAAATGATGCAACATGTTTGGATTCATCTTAATTACTTTATATCCTCTCCTTAGTTAAAAATTGATGAAACCTTGATGAAAAATTCACCATTCTTGAAACAGTGGAATGTTTTATAGGTTTTTAGAGGTGTCACTAAATTTTTTAAGGTTCAGGATGATAATACTTAACAATAGATCTTTGTATAATGTTACAGGAGCTGGTTCAGACTCCTCAACGTGTTGTTTAGGACCCTATGCAGACAGTATATTCCGGAAGTGACTGGAGTAAGACTTCAGGGGGAAACACGGCAGGTTCAGGACGGGATGACAGACAGGGGGGCGTGACGGCTGTGATCCGGTGCTCAGGGGGCGTGACAAGTCCAACACAGTCCAAATAGGGAAGCCAGGGCGCAGTCCATAATCCAAAAGCAGGAGATCGATCCAAGACAAGACACGAATAAAAACACGGAACGAGGACATGGAATCAGGAACATGGAAGGCCAGGCGCTCTGAGCCCCGGACTCAGCTTGTCAGGGCACCGTTGTGAAGCCTATGGTTATTCCTGGAACCGCTGGTAGGCGGGCTTCTGGGCGTCCGTCTTCTAATGCTAAGCCCTGAGCTTCTGAGGCACAGGGTTTAAATAATAAAAGGGAAACCAGGGACAGGTGTATGTAATAGCTAAACTAAAATACAAAAGGGTCGGAGCACCCTCTAGAGGAGGGATGATGGGGTGACATTTTGTTTCTGTGTTCAGCCTCCTTTCATGCCCTATGGCAATCAAAGTGATTTCCAAGACGTTTCTAGATTTCTGAGTCCACTTTCTTTGTAAATGTCTGCATCAGTTTGACTCATTCACCCGTGATTACTTGGAAACTTTTTGCCTGCCCTTTTAAGCTACAGCTTAAGTTTTTAAGTTGGTGAGTTGGTGTAATGAGTTAGGCATGTGCCTTGCATGCTGGAGGTCAGGGGTTTGAACCCAGCTGTTGCCATGAGTTTTCTTTTAACAAATAAACATTTTGAAAAACTAAAATAGCAAATATATTGACATTTTTTATATTTCTAAATATCAGAACATGTTCAAAGCTAAGTGATTTATTAATAACAAGGAATAATTTTAAACTGCTTGTATTTTAAAATTGTATTTTGTTCGGGGTGATTTGTCACTGTTTTCACAACCTTTAATTTAAAGAAGAGTGTTACACCCAACTGTTTGTTATGTAGAATAGACAGTTCTGCTCGGGGGATGGGATACATTTTCAGTAGCATGCTCTGTTATCATTGTTGCTCTTTAACATAAGGCAATCAGCATTCAAATGTCCTGTTTTTTCTTAACACTCATTTTTCTGTACCGTAGCTTTAAAACTTGAACAAAGACATGCCGCATGCATACAGCGCGATATTGTACAGTTTTAAACCCACTACAGTATAGCTTGTGGGAATAAATTTATTTGCACTGCATCAAAGTTTAACTTGTTCAGAGCGCCCTACATTACAAACTTCAAGCGTTTCATTTTGTCAATTGCTACAATATTGACAGCAATGTAGTTAAAAGGAACATGTCAAAATGTTTCTAAAATAACCACAAGTGAACGAGTTGAGTGATTTGATAATAATAGAGAAATCATAATAATGACTCCGTGTTGTTAATCATGCATACCCAACTGAAAGAAGGACACTTAAATCGACATGTGATGGTTTTGTGTTTAAGCATTTCTTCATGGAAATCTTTAAGTTAAACAAGGGAGGGGGAATGGTTATTTCTTGTTGTTGGCTCTGGTTATTGGCATTTTATTGGCATTTTATTTCATACAGGAAAAACAACAAATGGTAGTATATAAACCTTTACTTCTAATGAGATTTTAAAAGACAAAGCATACATTTATTTCTTTCACAATGCTGTGAAAGAAGCAGTAGCAATGAATCATGTCCCTAGTAGAGTTACATTTATTGCCAAATGATTAATCAGGTGGGAGTTGTTCAAAGGTAACTGAAACTGCAATTAAGAGTAGAGAAATGACTTTGGGCAACTATGTGTTTTCTGAGATGTCATGTAGAGAAACTCATATCATAGTCTTCCTCTGACATTAGAAGTAAATTGAAAGGCAAATCAAGCAACTTTCTTAAATGTTTGTTAAAACTGATCCATTTCACACGCTTTGTCTAATCTCTATTTAAGGTGAGTTTCATTAAAGAAGGAAAATAAATAATTTCCAATGATGTGCAATTGGCCCAAACTCTCTTTCATTCTCAGAAAATGAACTATGTACTGTTTCAACAAGAGCAGAATCTGTGCCTTTTCCCTGATGGCTGAAGTCCTGTTTCTTGAAAGACCAGATCTTTTTTGCTTAGACAGTATGAGGTTGCCATATGGTCTGTTCATTAACTAGGCTGCTGCTGGCAAAAGCACTTGAGCTTGGTTTACCGAGTGTCAAACTGCATTGCATTTATTGTTTTGATGGACACACTAAGCACTGACTGAACACATACCACAGTTATAGTGGAAAGCTGACAAATTTATCCAGATGGTATTTGTCTCTTAAAATTGTATTATATACACTGTTTTTTTCTTAGTAGTTATTAGTGGATCAAATGAGCAAAAAAATGTTTGGCAATGTTATGAATGTCTTCATCTTTAGAAAATTGTAGTGAAAAGTAATGTGAAATCCATAATTTTAATCAGAAATTGTGATATAGCAGGTGTCTTTATGTATTTTCCTAACTGTTACCTTCCACGTCTCTCCCTTCTCCTGCTTGTTCAGTAGTTTTTCACAACAGCTCCATATTAAACTCTCCCTAACTTACAATGGTCTTTTATACAGGGGCCAATGCTAAACTTAGGTACCAGATCACTTCAGGCAATTCCAAAGGAACGTTTGATGTGGAGCCTGAAGTTGGGACGATCTTCATAGCACAGCGATTGAACTATGAACAGAACCAGCACTACGAACTGAGACTGGTGGCATCTGATGGAAAATGGGAGAATCAGACACTTGTCATCATCAACGTCATCAACCAGAATGATGAGGCACCCATTTTCAGCCAGAGCGAGTATCACAGCAGCGTAATGGAGGAGCTCACTAAGCTGCCTGTGCTTGTGTTACAGGTCAGGGTGCTATATCCAAGTCAGGGACCTACATGGTTCATTGTTCTCTTTTCAGATGGTATTGGAACTAAAGTCAGTTTAAACTCAAACGGATTGTGCTGCTGAACTGTTGCTTTGATGTTTATTATAGAGTATAATGGTATTCTAAAATTATTAATTGCTTTTTAAAGTATTTTAAATATTGTATATATCAGTTGGAAAATTTAGAACGCTGTTTTCATCTGGGTGGGCATTCATTTATTTTAGATGTGAAAAAGCACTAGAAAACACAAGAGGCAACAAGAGTGGCAACAAGAGGAGAAAGGCATCCCAGTTACAAACCTTTTTTTAGTTAGCCCCTTATTAACATGTGACAAAAGAAATGCAACAAATGAGAGAAGAATTTAGTCTTTCTGGGTACAGATGGAGATCTGTCATCCAGATATCATAAATTTGAGCAAGGGTCATGCCACAAACTTTCTCTGACAAGGTTTTCCCGAAAGACAGTATACAGTATTGGCTCAGCACTGTGAAGCGTAGATGCAGGAATCTGTTAGCCAAGAGTTTTTCTGCTCTCATTAAAACTCTGACTACTACCGCTTCCTAAGCATCTTCAAGCTTGTGATAATGTCCATGAGAGAGATGCATCTCTTCCAATCAGGGCTAACCCTCTTGCAATGTCATCGTGGAACTTCTAGTCTCAAGGGATGAATGTCAGAGTAGCTTGTCTGCCTGTCCGTATTATCCCCCTTGCACTCAGTTGTGCTCTGAGACATGGAAAAAAATAATCAGCAATTCTACATTGAGTGTAATGTATATATTAAAAAATAATTGGTGAGACTGAAGAGTCTCAGCCTGCATATTTTCTCTGCTCATTTCTTTGTTTTTATGCAGCAGATTTCCATAGTGTATGACACTGTTATATAAAGAGTTGTATTTACTACTAATTTAACAACCTTAAATCTTCATTAATCCTGGACTGCCGCTAATAAATGTCTGTGAAGGTACCCCTTAAAGTCTGTGCTAGGCACACTATGTCATTTTCAATATTTATTAACAGATGTGCTGGTATATTTTAGATTCTAAATTTAAATTAATTTTGAAAATTTCAGATTGCTCTGTTTCAGTCTTTAATCTTCCTGGATTGTGACTTTTAATTGTCAGGGGAAAAAAGACTTCAAAGGCTTGTGCACAAATTCAGTAAAGTATGTTTTGAGTAAACACCCCTCAACTACAAGAAGCCAAAGTCTGTTTTCTTTGCTTGTTTTCAGTAATATTTAAGTTTAATAGTTGTAGGTTTTATGATGAATGTTTTGAAGGCCCTGCAAAAGTTATATCTTGAGGCAAACTGCTTAGCTGACATGTTAGTCATGACATGGTAGTTCTTATGGATGAAAAACATTAGAAAATTGCTCTTTTGTAGGTATCAGCCACGGATCCAGACCAAGAGGCAGACCAGAGCGCCCTGCGTTACTCTTTGCATGGCCAAGGTGCTGATAGCGAGTTCACCATTGAGGCTCTGACTGGGAAGATTTATGCCCAGAAAAAGCTTGACAGAGAGGGGCGCTCTGTGTGGCAATTCCTAGTCCTGGCCACGGATGAGAATGGGGCAGGTCTCACTGGGTTTGCTGATGTCATTGTAGAAGTGCAAGATGTCAATGACAACTCTCCTGTCTTCTTGTGTGCTATTGACAGCTGTTTTGTGGGCTATGTGCTGGAGAACTCCCCAGCTGATACTTCCATTATGGAAATGACTGCCACTGATTTGGACGACCCTAAGGCCAACAAGAACGCAATTCTAACTTACAGGATAGTGCAGAATGTACGCAATGAGATCAACCTTAACCTTTTTTCCATCAACCCCTTCACTGGAACTATCTATACTGTCCTCAGGTCCCTAGATAGAGAGGTAGAAGACAAATATCTAGTGGTGGTGGAAGCCAGGGATGGAGGAGGCCTAACAGGAACTGGGACGGCCACAATTATAGTGTCAGACATTAATGACCACCCTCCTGTATTCACACAGAGGGTATATATGGCTTCTGTGACTGAAAGCTTGGACATCAACAGTGAAGTGCTTGTGATGTCAGCCACTGATGGAGATGAGGGGGAAAATGCCATGATGACCTTCAGCATTGTTGGTGGAGACGAAGACCGCAAATTCTTCATTGAGACAGATAAGATGAACCGACGGGGGACCATCAGGCTGAAGAAGAAGATTGACTTTGAAAAACCCCATGAGCGGACATTTAACTTGACAGTGAAGGTGGAGGACATGGATTTCTTTAGTTTAGCCTACTGTGTTATCCAGGTGGAAGACTCCAATGACCATGCTCCTGTATTCTTCCCCCAGTTCTATGAGGCAGAGACCTTGTTTGAGGATGTCCCAGTCGGCACGATCATTGCCCATGTCACAGCTGTTGATCTAGACTCAGGGCAAAATGGAAGATTCACCTACAGCATTGAACCTGAGTCAGATCCATACGAACAGTTCTTGGTGGACAAGGCTGGTTCGGTTTTAGTAGCTGATTCCTTGGATCGGGAAAAAATAGCCCAGCACCGCCTCCTGCTACATGCCACAGATATGGGAAATCCGTCCCTGACCGGCACAGCTATAGTCTTAGTTTCAGTGCAAGATGTTAATGACAATGGACCAGATTTTGAGGTACCGTATCATCCTATAGTATGGGAGAACACGGGTGCACCCCAGGTTGTCCAAATGAATGACTCTTCACTCTTGCTCTATGCCAAAGACAATGATACACCTCCCAATGGTGCACCCTTTTCTTTCCAGCTGTTGATGGAGAGCCCTGGTGTGAGTAGTTTCAACCTTACTGACTTGAAAAATGGCAGTGCTCTGATTACAGCGCTGCAAACTTTTGATAGAGAAGAACAGAAACAATACTGCTTACCTATTTTAATGACTGACAGTGGCAGTCCTCCTATGAGTGCAACCAATACGCTGACAATCACCATCGGCGACAGAAATGATCATCCACATGTGGCAGGGCACATAGAATTTATTATCTACAGCTATGAGGGTGAGTGCAGTAAGTGTTTTTACTGATTTTTAGGGAGTTAATAGTTTTTTTTGTCTATTGTTATGCTATTTCTAACAGATAAGGCTTGGAATGTATTTTTTATTTTTTGAGCAACAGGGTAGCAATTAATTTCATTATCAATTATTATTTGCAATTATTATTATGACATATTTTATGTTTATAAAGTCTAAGTGCTTCAATAGAAGGGGTTTAGTCCCCCATGAAATAGTAAATAAACACATTAGTATACCATTTTATTTATTTTTTAATTGAGGTTTTAAACTATTTTAAACATGTAAATGTTCCTTATTATATTTAACATTTAACAAATAAAGTTACATGAGCCCCAGGAGTGATTTGCACTGATATCATGAAAGGACATGGGTGGTATTCAGATAGTCAAAACATTCCTTGCCAAGTAAACGTAAAACACTTTCTGCTTTTGGACGAATCAAGATATACTAATATATCTTTTTCCACTTTTAATGTACATATAGTTCCCCCTTTGTTGAATTACAAATAATGTATACATATCTTTGTAGTGTGTGAAACTGAACTTATTTAGGATTGCAAACCAAAGGGCATAAATAGTTTTGCAGTCAATGGATTTTTTTCTCTTTGCGTTTATTGCTTTCATCTAACGTCTTTCAGACAAAAGTGTTCAGTTTGAGCATTCATGTCTTCCATTAACATATACAGTTTAAAAAATGTGTATGCTGTACATTTTTTAGAATTCAACTAACTAGGACATCATTGAAAGGAGGTGAATACTTTTGCAAAGCACTGTACAGTATATCAAGTACATACAGTAGTATACAGTACATATACTGGTGTTGATTCTTTTATCTAAAAAAGAGAGTACCTATTTTCTCTCCATTAAATCTATATGTTTTGATGGCTGATGTGTAACCTGAGTTCTGAAACCTGATTACATGTTTTCCCCAGGTATACTTCCAACAACGGTGCTGGGCCAAGTTCAGTCCCCTGACCTAGATGACTGGAATGAAAAGGTTTACAGATTTGAAGGCAAACCATCCAGGTGCTTTGATTTTTTACTGAAACCTGAAACAAGCAGCTAAGAAATCAGTCACTTACAGATAAAAAAACACTTTGGAATGTGATAGATTTGTATTACTAGTTGATTAGGCTGCTTTATCCATAGCAACTTACATTTGCATAGATTCTGTTTGAACAGCTTGGTTTTTTAACAATTTGAGTAAAATGTCTTGCTAAAGGGTAAAACTGCACCGTCCCACCCATGACATGAGTTACATGTCCAAAACCCTGTCCAAAACCACATGTCCAAAAGCACTCTTACTGCTGGTTTGATATAATTGTGTGAATACTCAAGGGGTCAAGTAATGTTACTCACTGAATAAATTCTAAAGTGAATTATTATGAGATTGGTGTACATGTGCATTTGTTTTTCATCTCATCACTAAACAAATAATATGTATTAATAGTAATTTTAATAATAGACACAAAATGAAAATTACAATGTTTTAAATATTCAAAATGTCCTCCTATTCATTCAATCACATTTCAAATGCTAATTGTAACATTTCACATTAGCCTCTGGGGTACATAAGTTGAAATTTAAAAATTGATTAAATTACTTATTCATCTGCTGCCTTTAAATCAAGCTTTCAGGCTAGTTGCAAATACTCAGTCTTTCAAGCATCCCCTCAGTAAAAATCCTATTGATTCTGAACAGATGCCACATATCTCTGTAAACCTGTCAAATACCTCAAACTTTTTTCAGTGCTGAAAATAGTTTCATTACTTTAGTCATTCCATGATTAATTATAGCTGCTGTGTTGTCTCCTCTAGAAGCCAGGTCCACAGAATATCATGAGTGCTGGCACATCTATATCTATTTTAAATCTAATTTTACAGCAAAACAGAGAGAGCTTAACTCACTGTAACAGATTGTAGTAATAGTTCAACAAAACAAAATAGTTCAGTTTTATTTTTAATGAAAAGCTCTCTAGTAGAGAAATACATTGATAAAGATATATTTTGTACTGCATTTTGTAGGAAAAGGTGCTTTCAAGGGTAATTTTCTTACCTGATCCTACATTTCCTAAATGTATATTTAAATATGAGATCAACTTCTGGGAAGTAAATATGTGTATTTTGAGTACTACCAAAGAAAACATGAAAGAACAATTGCTTTTATGTGCTGGAAAAAGAAGAAGAAAGCCAGGAGTCAAGTGCAGTTGTGAACAGTTGTAATGGAGTTCCAAGGGGTGTTATAATTTTTCTTCCAGCAGTGCTCCAATTCAGATTAGTGCTTAACCGATTAGTGCTTAACTGGACCAGATTAAAGCCTTTCAAATCAGCAACACAAACTGCTGTACTACATTATTAAATGATCAGTCACCAATCCACTGTGTTGCAGGATAACCACTAAGGTTGAACTTTCTTTGGAACCACACTGCACAGATGATTAATACAAACTAAAGAGTCCAGAAGCACATTTTACTCTCTGTTAATGCATAGGAGGGTGTATTAACACTCTCATTCACTGCTCACACCTCTTCATGCTTGATCACTGTACAACTGGACCTCTTTCAAAAGACAAGCACCTGCAGCACTATTTTTTCCAGAAATGTCCAATGTTCATTACAAAATGGAATACTAGTTAAAGTTCGGGAGGGATGAAAGCAGCTGAACTAAGCTCACCTTAGTTATTCAATTTGCCTTTTAAAAGACATGAAAAAAGACAAGTTTGCCAATCTAGAATTTTTAATTTCAGAGTGCTCTATCATAATATTATATCATATTTCCAGAGCTGCAGGAGATTTCCTTTTTGTTGCTTGCAATTTCATTCTCCAGTATAGTAAAATGACTAGTCTTCTTTAACTAGAGAAGCCATTTTCGTAATGCACCGTAAAAGACAGATAAGTGATCTACTGTAGTAACTGGCAGATTTTACTTAAGTAAGTAAAAGTCTTATCTCAATAAAGATGAAGAAGCTACTTGACACTATAGTATCCATGAAAAAAGCTATCATTGTGTCAGAGTGGCTAGTGTTCCAATTCCCTTTAATCACATCATCATCTGTTTTAATGATGGAAGAATTACTGGGAAAGATGCTATGTGTCTTTGCAAGTTCTTGTAATGATATGAACATGCATGAATTATTCATTGAGTGGTATTACACTGCAAAGTGCCTGGCTGTCTTACTCTTGTAACTCTGTTAATAATAGCCTCTGTCTGGATTAATAAATAGCCTCTTTCTGGATAAAACTGCACTTGATGAATACAAGACTGTACTGTTGCCATTCTTGCAGGTATTTTATATTAAATCCAAACTCAGGGCAGCTCAGTATCCAAGAGGGGACTCCTTCTGGGTCATATAGTTTACAAGTCCGAGTGGCAGATAAAACCTGGCCAGATGTCACCTCAACGGTAGAAGTCACTGTCAAAGATCTGAAGGAAGAAGCTCTCCAGAATGCAGGCTCTGTACGAATAACCAGTGAGTATTTTACAATGGAATCTTCTTATCTTGAGAATTTCTTATGAAAACATTAAAATATTATAGCTCTTAATTCATGGAAAAAGTTCATGGAAAAAGAAATATGTAAACCTTATTGGCAGTTACAAATAGCTTAGTACACTTTCCTTATAGTGTGTAATGCTGGACTGATTCTGAGAGCATACTGTGCAGTGCTATTAAACCAAGTCCCTTATTGCTTATTCCTCTATAATTCTGACGACTCTGCAATTCTTTATTTGTTATTTCTACACAAGCCTGAAAAAATGAATTACATAATATAATTATTTATTTTGTTTCTTTTTCCCTTAACTTTTTCCAGAATTTAAGAGCTATTGCTTTTTAATGTTTTCATAAGAATTTATCAATTCTCCTTGGAAACAGAGACCATAGAGAGATTATAATGTAATTACCATATTGGAAAGTGAAGCACTCTATATAAAGTTTTTGGAAGTCTCAAGAAAATATTGTGGAGGATTTGTCTAAACACTGCTGTTTGTTTGTCTCATCAAAGACAGTACAGTTGAGGAATTTGTATCAGCCCCAGAGGGAAAGGAAAGCAGGTACTTCAGATTGAAGAGTCTGCTTTCTGAGATTATTCCAGCTGACCTGGACAACATTCACATCTTCAGTGTGGCCAGTAGCAGACTACGCCCCAGTGAAGTCAATGTGTGGTTTGCAGCTCATGGTTCCCGCTATTACAAAGCTGAAAAACTCAATGGAATTGTGGCAGCATACAAATCAAAGGTATTCACAATAAAGGGTTGACCTGATACAATTACAATATGAGTTAATTAACCTACTGTATATCTACAGTATGCATCCTTGAACTGCTTGTATTTCAAAGCAGACCTGACAGAAGCACACTGCTGGTATGCAATAAAGAATTTAAGAACATTCCTTAAGGAAATGGTGGTGGCATTATTTCAGAACATCATTTATAATGTTAGTGTGTTAAAACATAATTTTGCAGTTTATGTTTATTTACTGTATAATATCAGTTTCATTTTTGGTTATAACGTGGATACATACATACAGTAAGTTGCAATAAGTGATTCAGTTGATTACATGAATTTCACTGAAGTTCCTTTAACCCATCAGTCTCTTTAGTGCTTTTCTTAATAAAATAAATGTATCCATCTGACAATTTTTACAACTCTAGCCAGTGGAGGAAGCTGGACCCTAACCTGACAAACACCAGGCACAAGACGGGATACACCCTATATGGAATGCCTGTGGATCACAGGGCACACACAGACACACACTCTCATACTATACCAGTGCCAATTTGTTTTACAGAAGCCAATTAACCTATCAGCATTGTTACACCATACAGGCAGGACACTGAATGTGTTCTCTCTCTTCAGCTAGAGGCTGCCATGGGTGTGACCATTTTGCAAGTAGGGGTGGATGAGTGTGCCTACAGTGACTGCAGCCATGCAACTGGTTGTTCCAGTATCATTTCCTTCAGCAACACCCCCACAGCGCTCAACAGTGGAAATGTTTCTCTGGTCTCCGTCACAGCCTCTGTCAACACGCAGTGCACCTGTTCAGCACGTGAGAGGCTTCCCCTCTCCTGCTCCTCCTATCCCCATGGCCCCTGTCTGAATGGGGGCACTTGTATTGACAGTGATCTGGGCTACAGGTACTGATGATGGCATGAAAATTTCCTTTAGAATCTTTGGAGTGTTTCTACAGTAAAGTCAATGGAAAATAACATTTGCCAACAGTCTTTTAAAATGCGTAATTTCCAAATAGTTTTTGCTCTTTTTGTTTTAAGGTTCCTTATTTCTACTTATCTGTTTGTAACACTCTATCTATCTACTGTAGATAGCTTTTTATATCTTTGTATATTACTGACTTTTAAACTTATACAAGCTTTGGCGGAGGAATCCAGCTTAAAAACATGGTTTCAGAATACTGTACCTCAAAATTGTTTTAATGAACCAGATAGTTTTTGAAAGTGTTAAATGTCAACTATACTTAATATTTCTGTATGTGATATGTAGGTATAGACATATTGACCTCCTATTTCTGAAACAAATATATTATTTTACCTGTAGTCTATATTATTTTAGAAACTGTCCTTATTTTCCTAATGGTAATTATGAAACTACAGTGAATTTGTTTATTTGAGGTATAGTCTGACAATACTTATGTCTGCAACTGTAGTACCTCTTTAATTTTAATCTTTGTAATTGATTTTTTTCAGATGTAAATGCCCTCCAATGTTTGATGGGCCTGAGTGTCAACAAACAAAGCATACTTTCCATGGTCATGGTTATGCCTGGTTCACTCCTATAAAACCCTGCTTTCAGAGTCACATATCCTTGGAGTTCATCACTGAAACAGCCAATGGGCTTCTGTTTTACAATGGGCCCATAGCACAAGCTCAGCCTGGGGATAATGAGGACTTCATAGCACTGGGTAAGAGTCCATAGTTAAATTTATGGTGTATTTGCATTCCCTGGATAGTGTCATGTCTCCAGGGGTAGAGACTCCCTCTCCTACGCAGGCTATAAGATAATTAAGGTATTTGAAGCATAAAGGTTAAACTAGGACTGTTTGAGTAAAAACTGGAAATCTGACATGCTTAGCTGCAAGAGTGTGCTATTTATAGTACCAAATGTCTGTGATTAGCTTGCCTTTTGTTATGTTATTATTGAATATACTTTATGCTCTACCTCTAGAGAATCGCTGTGATAGGCAAGAAATCAATCTTAATCATAAATTATTTCAACTAGGCCTTTTTACAGCTGAAATGAAATGTACAGATGCAGCCATTCAAAATGCACGGTACAACACCATACCGCGTGAAATTATCTAGAGTTCAACGTGTCGGCCAACATGAGCGACAGGCAGCACTCGTGGTGCATTGGTTGCTTCATTTAACCTCTTTACTGTGCATGTTTAAATCCACTTAATATTGAATATTAATATCGAATTTTACAACTAAATGGAAATTGTAGTAGCTGAGCATGAAAAGAAGAGGAGAAAAAAGCATCTGAAGGTCATAAACCATATTCATTTAGGAACATAAACATATTATGTAAACTGTATATGGCTGGTATTGGTAGTTTAAATAAAAAATACACACTAGTATTCCAATTTATTCCTAAATATTTTAAGCATCAAAGTCTTTCATTCGGTTACATACTGTGGTTATTTTGGAAAAGTTTTTACATGCTCATTCTGACTATATTAAGTTTATACTGTATACTTCATAAAAGGTTATAATGTTTTAACCTCTTCTATGAATATTTGCGCTCGTTATCGCAGTAAAAAAACATACATTTTAGAATTTGATTAATAGGGAATTAAATATGGAATCGAGTATCTAAAGGAATTAATAATGATATAATTATATTCATATAGCTGAAATTATCACAGTAGTACACTTTCTTTGTAAACATCTGCATCAATTTGACTCATTCACCCGTGATTACTTAGAAACTATCTGCCTGCCCTGTTCAGTTCTAGCTAAAGTTGTCAAGCGGTGCATTGGTGTAATGCTCAGGTATCTGACTTGCATGTCGGAGGTTGGGGGTTCAAACCCAACTCTTGCTATGAGTTTTCTTTTAACCGATAAACATTTCTTTGAAAAACTAAAATAGTAGATATTATCAACACTATATTGTATATATTTGTGGGTATTTCTAAATATCACAACACATTCAAAGTTAAGGGAGGTAAGTGATTAGCCTTTTCAATTAAAACTTGCGCTCGTTATCGCAGTAAAAAACCTCATACTTTTTAGAATCCGCTAAATAGGGAATATAATATGGAATTGCTTATCTAAAGAAATTAATAACGATATTAATTTAAGATCTAAATATAAATATTTATATAGCTAGTTGTATTATTGTAATCCACTTTCTTTGTAAACACGTTTTATTTTGGATTTGACTCATTCACGCATGTTAAATTATTATGTACACTATATTAACATTTTTTTGTATATATATATTATAACATATTCAATGTTAAGTTATATTAATAATGAAATTAAAACAGTTTAATTCAAAACACTTTATTCAGTGGGGCAATTTAACAGATGCCTCAAGCCTTAAAACAAAATCATATATATTGTAATTAGAATCAAGAATAACAATGCGGTATTAAAAATACCACTGAAACTATAATGTGTCTGGTCATTAATGGTATTTATTTAATAATAATAGTTTCAAACTTCTTGTATCTTTTTCAGAGTAATTTTTTTCTTTGGTTTTCTTAAGCTTCGCTTATTAAAATACCTATTTATGAAATACGATGTTTCAGATGTTTCAGATGTCAATAACTTTTTGAACAAATGACACAGATCCTGCAACGTACAGTTTTAAAGATCGCGATTTGTGTAAAATTGCACAGCTTTTATTTAAACAATATCTAGTACCCGGTTGCATTTTTAGAAACCTTAGTTTGAATAAAGCGGATCCCAGGTGCAAGTGACTTCATAACGAGAGAAGGCATTATGCTGTATTTTTTATGCATCAGTTGAAGCTTTCTGACTTCCCGTGGTGTGAAACGAATTAGCAGGTGATTGAGAAAACCACGCACCACCCACTGAGCTTACTAAAGAGAAGAGGTGGCGCGGATTGTATTTCTGACTGTTATGTCTCAGTTCAATATTTTATATATATATAAATAATGTCAGGCATCAGGTGCATAAATTATTAGTAATCAATAATTAGTATTAAAATTCGCACCGTGATAAATTGTTGCACTTCCACATCTTGTAAAAACATTAATTTGCAAGACTGTGGTCAAACATACGTTAAATCTAACTATCAAAAAACCAGGGTTCACTTTTTTTCTCTCTTTCTACTCTCCCTCAGCCACTGCGATTCAGACATAGAATGGTTAAAAAAGGAAACAGGTGAGGCAGGCAGAGGGAAGGGGGATGGGGGAAGCATCTTCCCACCTCTATGACTAAAGAAAGTGTCAAAGAGAAATGTCTTGAGCGACATACAAAGCCGAAAAAGTTTGGTTTGCTTTAAAGCAGAGAAGACCGCTCCTTGTGGATGAAATTTCACCTCAAACATTTGCCCACCAACTAACACACAGTAGCAAACTGAATACAAATACAAATACAAATACAAATACAAGAATAGTGATTACAAACATTGAAAAAATATACTTGCTTTATACTGTTATACTGTACATTGTATTAAAACAATCTATGGTCACTACACTGCCCACTAAACATCTTTCCCACAATTTCACGTGGGCAAGGTCACATAGCTGATTCACAGCGGGATACAATTTTGTCTTGCAAAAATTCAGATATTTGACAACATATTTACTAAAAATATCCATCTCAGTAATCTCACTGTGTTTCTCACTGTACGCCCCAGTGCTCAATCAATGTTCACATACCCAGTAAAATAAAAAACCCATTTCACCTCACACCAGGAGGGAAAGAAAAAGTGCCCGCAGACATTTTTTTCCACTGACAGACAAAGTTGATTAAAACTCATTCAAACAGTGTGATGTGTTAACACAAGCTCTGCTTAACAAAGCTGCTTGGTGACTTTCTGCACAATTAAATAAAGCTACAGTACAGCCAGATTTTTAATTCGTCAAGCAAAATTAGCTGTTTGTCAAAATCTGCTACTTTCCAAGCAGTACACAACTTCTCAAAAGGTACGTTTTGTCAGTCGTGCAAACTCAACAAAGGTTTATTTTTATAATTCTAAAATTTGAACAGTATGCCTCAGGGACTCATTATAGTATTTTAGTGAATAAGGTTAGCGCAGGAAAATCAAAATACCGCCCCCCCCCCCAGCCGGGTCTCGCTGCCTGCTGTTGCAAAGCGGTATGGTCTCAATTTATGTGTGAAATATCTTTTCTTACTCCAGTTATTAATCCAATATATTTTTACTCATCCGGCTATGTAAACATATAGCCAAAAGGATCGCTGTAAAGTTAAATTCCAAGCTGAAAAGACAAAGCTCAACATGTCTTCTCTAACTCTTCAGTTTACAGCTCATCCATGGTCATTCATTATTAATATTGTAACGAACGGCAGGCATACAGATGGCACAAGCTGGTTGCAGCGTGGTGACAGTACAGCCCTCTTTTAGCCCTTCCTTAACTTAAAGAATTGCTTGAAGAAATCCTAAATCAAGAAACCACCACTTATGATCATTCATCCAGATACACACACCGTGGCCAACAACAAGCTACTAATAATGGACTATTTTTATATATTCAGTTATGTAAGAAACAAAGTAATTCTCTGATCAGGGTTTGAACCACCTGGTTGCAGCGCACTACATGACATTCCATTGCCTATTACCACTAAATTGTTTACTATAAGGACAATAATATATATATATGTTAAAAATAAATGAACATCAAATGTTTCCAAAATGTCCCCTTGTGAGCAGCCCTTGGCTGCTTAATTACATGACTCCATGTTAATATTACTATCAAGAGGTATTAAATCAGTACAACTTGTATGAAATTCAAGTATTTAAAACATTTAATTAAAAATTGTTTTTTAACTATCTAAACCATTTTTTTCAGCTTTTAAAGTCAAGCAATGTTTGAGTTAGGCAGAAAAAACGTCATTGTATCTTAGTTTTGATAACATTTTTTAAAATAAAAAAAATTGTTTGCCCATCATGTTGATAGGCTGTTCTCCAATTACTGCAATTATCAAATCTCTCACCTCGTTCACTTGTGGTTATTTTGGAAACATTTTGACATTGCTGTCGATATCGTAGCAATAGACAAAATGAAACGATTGGAGTTTGTAATGTAAAACTTTGATGCAGGACAAATAAATATATTTCCCACAAGCTATACTGTAGTGGCAGTACAGTAGCAGTTTGGAATTATTCATTGCTTTTAGTAAATCACCTAGCTTCGAACATGTTGTGATATTTAGAAATATCAAAAATGTTGTATAGTGTCCGTAATATTTGCTATTTTAGTTTTTCAAAGAAATGTTTATTTGTACGTATTCTTAGAAAAGGATCAAACGTTATAACTTATGAAGTACAGAATATAAGCTTAATAATGTTAGAACAAGCGCATTAAAACCAGAACCCATGTAAGTTACGAAGTTAAAGACTTAGATGCATAAAATATTTATGCATAATTAAAATATTTATGATGAAAGTGGAAGGTTGTATACTTTTGTTTAACTGAGCAATCTTGCTTTTATAAAATATACCGACTTTTTAATGTTTAATGATTAACATGCTGTAATACAGAGTTTACAGTTATCAATAATCTAAAGCGTATACAACTTTAATTCTTAATTGGAAAAAGATTGTCCCGCAGCAGTGAGCAGGATTCGAAAGCAGGTGTTTTCTGGTGACAGCTGAAATCCTGTACATGAGATGTTAAGCTTTGTTAGCTCCACCTGGTGGTTTTACAAGGTGCTTACAGATACTATTATCATATTTCAATTAACATGTGGTAAGATGTGGTATGATGCGCCACGTCCACCGCGTACCAACGCAGCTTACCTGAATGGCTTGATCAGTAATACTGCTACTGCATGAAAAAGTTTAGTCACTAATTAAAAACTTAATATTAACAAAAATTAAATATTTTTGTGCTACAATTTAAACAATATCCTGAACCCGATGGATTTTATTAATTATACTTAAGAAAACAAGAGATGTTGTTTTCTTGTTTTCTTGAGATGTTTTTGTTGTTTGTTGTTGTGTCTTTTCTTTTCTTTTCAGCATGGAATAAACCTTTACTTGTTCCTTTGCAGCCTACACATGCTGATGCAGATACCTACTTAAATGTATTTGATCCAATGATCTCTTCTGGACATTTCTTGAATTGGTTGAAGCACAAATGAACATAATACATATTGAAAAAACATCAACTGTAGTAGATACAAGATGGGAAACACTGGTGTTTAAGTTGTACAGTATGTTTAAATAATGGTTGTTTATGCTGACATTTCATTAACCTCTTCTAGAATAGTGGTTCCCAATCCTGGTCATGGAGTACCCTGGTGTCTTATGGATTTTGTTCCAGCCATGTTTATAATTGTTGGTTAATTGATGTAATTTTTCAATTTCAGGTATATTTTTAAAATTGCTTACAACTCCTAAATATTTGAATGAGGTATCATCCAATTCAACGTGTAAAGGTTTATTCCATGTTGAAAAGAAAATAGATTTAACATTTCAGTTGTGGAGCCACATCTGAAAAACTCTTTTCCTTTTAACATGGAATAAACCTTTACCCGTACCTTAGCATGCTGATGTAGCTGCCTACTCAAATGACATTATCCACTTCAGGTGCATTATCTTAGATGTAAACAACAAGATTGAGCTGCCCTCTGACATTGGCCTATTACAATTCATGTCATATACAGTACTGTATCAATATAACATGTTACATGTTAGAAATTAAAATTTATGTATTAAGATTCTGTGCTCCAGGATAAAAAAAACAGCTTCCAGTAAAGTTGTGTATCTCCTGGGGTTGAAGAAGACTAGTTTATGCTTACTCTCAAACAATATTGCACCATCCAAAAATCAAACTATCTGCTGTATCCTGATATTTGCAGTAGATATTTGGTAGTAGAGATCAACAAACATCTTTTTAAAATTGAAAGTGCTGATTGAGATTGAAATGTATTCTCAAAACCAGCATTGCCACACTTCACATCTGATGAGAGTTTTTGCTGATGCTGTGTCTGAGGTGTTGTGGTGATGTCAAATCTTCTCTGTGTCAGAACTGAAGAATGGAGTCCCTTCTCTAAGTGTCAGCTATGGCTCAGGTACCCTACAGCTGCAGCTTCCCTCTACGGCAGCTGTGACAGACCGGCGGTGGCACCGAATCGATATCATTAGTGATGGGAAGGTTTGTACTGACAGAAGGGTATGGCGGCAATTGAACTGTCATGATCAGTCTGGCAGTGAGGGATCAGGTTATGTCTGAGATCAATGGACTGCTCCCTTTCTTGTTCCTGTTAATTAAAAAAGACATTGCTACCACAAAAAGAATAAATCAAAATTTCTCTATACTAACCCCGTCCAGAAAGTTATATAAAAAATCTACATGTGCACTTTCCTTCTTATAATTCATTTTTCATTGTCTTTTTCATTCTTGTTGGGTACATTACTTTTTGGCATTTACAGTAGACCTGTCATGGAAAATAAACATTAAAGATTGCAAAAATGCTGGAGCTGACCTAGGTTTTCCCAAAGCTGAGTATTATACCAGTTTTAACACAAATGCAGTTTTTAACACAAATTGCCTACATAGACCTTTCATGTCTGTCTCTGATGAATATTGCAAGAGATTTGCTTCTAAGTATTTCAAAGGCCAATGTATAGGCCTGAATACAGAGGCCCTCAATCCCCAGACTGGATTTTTGTATCATGAAAGTGAAGAGTGTGCTCTCTCTCAGTCAGTACAGCTCATCCTAGACCGCTGCTCTGGAGCCTTGGTCAACGAATTTGAAGGCTTTGTGGTGGAGGTGCTAGAAACCGACCAGACACTGTGCAAAGCAACAGGAGAAACCCCTGGAAAGGAGAGGTAAAATGAATTGAATAACATTGAATCACTGATATGACTTGGGAGACCTAGTAACAAACTAAACACTTCCTTGAAATGAATTATGTAGTAACAGTCCTAAAGTTAGAAAATGTTTATAACATACAAAATCCAAAAGCACAATGCAGTCTTCTAACTGCATTTCCTTATTCCATTTTAATTTTCTGGTGGCTTCATCCAATTCAGGCTTGTGGATGACACATGAGTACAAATGAGCAAACAATGAGTACAAGGTACACCCTAGGCATAACATCAGTCCATCAGAGGGCAGACACAGAGACACAAACACGCACACCAATGCCAATTTTTCCAGAAGTAAGTGAAACTACTAGTATGTTTGTTGACTGTTGGAGGAAACTAGAGCGCTCAGGGGAAACCTATGAGAACAAGGGGAGAACATACAAACTCTACACAAATAGTCAGCAGATATTACTGGTTGACTGAACTCATTTTTTGCTGTACCTACAGGTATAACAGGAATTTACAGTATTTCTTTAAAACATACAGGTGTATCCACACTTTTCATCCATGTATTAGACTAATTTTTGGATTAAATTGATGTTAACTACCACTACTTTACCCAAAGGGTTGTGGGAGCATGGAGAAAAAGCTGTGCAGTCATGTGATTGAAGCCAGTCAACCTTCATGTAACAGCTGGATGAGATCTTTGTATAAACAAACCACTAACTACCAAGCGGAACAGAGTGGTCAAATGGCTTCCTCTTGTTTCCTCTTGTTTTTTAATGTTTTTACATTCCATATGTCTCTTAATAAACATTTCCCTGTATTTTACATATAACAACTTCATGTTCCATCCAAAAAAAGCAAAAGATAGATTAAATCCTACATGATCTTTTGTAGTAATTGTAGGATTTTTTACCATAATTGGATGTGGGTATTCTCTTCAAAAAACAACGAAATTAGAATTGCTCTGAAATGTCCATTTCCCTGAAAAGAACACCTCTGTCTTTGTCTGCTAATCCTGAACCAGGGTTTTCTATCCCTCTTGTCCTGACAGGTTCCTTGATGTTAATCAGCCTTTGCAGCTCGGTGGCATGAAGGAGTCCTTCCCTTTCCGGAGGACACAACTGCACTTCACGGGTTTTGTGGGCTGTGTGAGAAATCTGATTGTGGATAGTCAGGTTTGTAAGGAACTTCTTCAATGCTTTATTTCCCAGTTACTTACTTAATGTTACTGATTTAACAATGATAGGTATTAATTTTATATCCAGTGAAGAATCAGAGTTTGCATAACAAGACCCCCACAGTCACTTGGGACAGTGAGCTTCAAAGATCTCAGGGGAAGATCCTCTGGGGACAGTTATCTGATCCTCTGATGGACTGATGTCCTGCCTAGGGTGTACCCTGTACTCATTGTTTGCTCATTTCTACTCATGTGTCATCCACAAGCCCTGTGTTTTTAACACAAATGGGTGTTCATGAGTGACCATTACCAATCATATTGGAATCATAGAAATTACTTAAATTACATAATCACTTACATAATCAGGGTGGCTGTCCCTGATAATGTTAATATTTCTGTAGTTATTTCTAACATGTCACATACTGCAGTTGTCTGTTTAAAATACACTGAAGCTAGATCAGGAGTAATGACCCTGGACCAGAATTAGATTTTAAGTTCTAAATACTTTTTGATGTATAAAAATGTAACAGGCTACCAGTGTCCGTCTGGAGGGTACAGCCACAGGGAACTGATGTCTTGATGCAGCTGTGAGCCATCCAATTTAAAGGGATGTCAAAACTCTTGAGAAACAGCTAAACGTCCTTGGAAAGCAAGGATACATGTCGGAAGAAGAATCTTCAGATCCTGCAGAACACAGCCTGATGGGTTGTGGCAAAGTTGTGTTGCTGGCACAGGAAATCCTCGGGTAGAGTGTCCAGGGAAATACAACCTTATGGGCAGCACAGGTTGCCAGTTGTGATCATCCAAATTGCGGCATGGCACTTATGTTTCTGTTGTGGAAAGTAAATTGAGAGAGGGAAGATAGAAGTATCCCCAATCTCAAAGAGTATTATTATGCGGCACAACTCAAGCCTCTGATCTGTTAGTGTGATGATAACATGACAGTCAAGTGGAAAGGCATAGAGACTAGATTAAAAAATACACCTATCCAAGCTATTATTGTGATCGAGCCAGGTTTCAATATGATCAATTGGATTATCTGAATGCATTTACATTACAAAATGTGGTTTAAAGTTGTTAAAAAAATAATGTTAGAAAAACAGATGAGGATATTGAGATGGTTTGCATATGATCCAACATTTTTGCCAGGTATACTTGATCAAAGATTTAAACAGTGGGCTCACTGAGGAAAGACCTCATTTTGTACAATAATGGAAAAGAGAAATCTATTAAGTTTTCAGTCCCTTAAAGACAAATATGGTTTGGAAAACCAGGGCTTTTTCCGATACCTATAGATGTGTTAGTACTTTTTGAAAAAGATCAAGGAACATGATTCAAATGTTCAACTAAACCAAGTCATACAGATTATACATTATTATCCAGGCTTACAAGATGAGCACTTGTACTGTAATGAGCTCTAGAAAATAAATGAAAGATTATATTAGGATAAAATAGGAAGAAGAACTAAACATTGCCATCACTAATGGGAGAATGGTGAATGGGAGAATATGTGTAAAACACAATGCACTTCCACAAACGCGAAAAGATGCGGGAATTTTTCTGAAAGAATTTAGCGCAATTCTTCATAACCCCAAAAATAAAATCATCTCGGCTTTGCCACAACCATGTTGGGGAGAGTGTGGTAATAGAGATGCAGGACATTCCCATATATATATTGGCATTGTTCAAGAATTCAATCTTATTCGGGTGAAGTGTCACCTCTGACACTTGTAAACTGTATATTGCTGGTATTGATAGTTTAAAGAAAAAAAATACACACCAGTAGTCCATTTCTCCCTAACATTTTAAGCATCAAAGTCTTACATGTGGTTATTTCGGAAACGTTTTTACATGCTCCTTCTGACCATGTTACTGTACGTTTATATACAGTACTTTGTGAGAAAAGTGATAGTTTTCTGCGAACACACTTGCTATCGGAGTAAACAAAAGCATACTTTTAGAATTTGATTAATAGGGAATATAATATGGATTCGTGTATCTAATTAAATTAATAACAATATAACTATATTCATGTACTGTTGCACAAACAGTAGTATAAGACTTTCCATTGATATGTGTATTGTTGTTTCAGGGCTTGTCATATGACCGTGATGGTTTAAGTGACTGACTTACTGTATATCCCTGAGGTCGGGTGTTCAAATCCGCTATCGCCATGGGTTTTCTTTTAACAAATAAACATTTCTTAGAAACACTAAAATAGCAAATATTATGGTTCACTATATTGACCTTTTTATATTTCTAAAAATCACATGTTCGAAGCTAAGTCATTTATTAAAAACAATGAATAATTTCAAACTGCTACTGATATTATTACTGACAATAAATATTATCAACACTATATTGAATTTATTTGTCTTTCTAAATATCACAAAACATTCAAAGTTAAGTGATTACCATTTTCCATTAATACTTGCGCTCGTTATCACAGTAAAAGAAACTCATACTTTTCAGAATTTAATTATTATTTTGGAAAATGTTTTTACGTACTCCTTCTGACCATATCGTTTCTATATTTTTTGAGAAAAGTGATATTTTCACCTTTTCTGCAAATACGCCCGCTATTGGGAGAGCATATAAAGAGCATGCTTGCCAGTGCGGTGACGTCAATGCATTTCCCTCTGAATAGCTACTAAATAGGCAGTGAAAACATTTGTCTGTCTTTCC